ACCCAAATTCCTGTGGCTATAAGTGAGACGGTTAAGTGAATCTTGACACGTTTTACGATATTTCTTCCCACAGTTGTTAAATGAACCACTTTCGTTGTTAAGTTAATTAACACGGCAGTGAAGGGATTCCGACTTTGCTTGCCAGATGGTCGCAAAAAAGAGAATGACATGATTCCGGGACCCTAGAACCGTCATAAATACAAGTCAGTTGCCAAGCATCTGAATTTTGATCACGTGGCCACAGGGAATGCTGCTATGGTCAAAAGTGTGAAAAATGGTTGTGAGTCACTGTTTTCACAGCTGTTGCAACTTCAAATGGTCACTAAACAGACTGTTATAAGTCAAGGACTACCTGTAGACACACACACACACACACACCTGCATAGTTCAAAAGCAGCATCACACTGAACTAGGATGAGAAACTCTGGGAATCTCAAAGATGTAGGCTAGATTAGCAATTTGAGGAAAAGATGCTGATAGAAGGAAAGTCGTGTCCTTAATGCTGGGAAGAGCTTGAGCTGATCAAAATTTTATTTCCTATAAAGCTATCAAGGGTTAGACCTGCTTGGAAGATGACTAGGGAATACTGGATTGGTAGACTGTACTAAGAAGTTAAAAAGAAAATAAGACAAGACTACGATAGGTCCATACCCAGGTAGCCTAAGGCTTATGACCGCAATCGGACCCCAAATTTGTGTTGCTAAGTGAGACAATTGTTAAGTGAGTCTTGCCCCATTTTACGACCTTTCTTGCCACCATTATTAAATGCATCGTCGCAGCTGTTGAGTTAGTAACACAGTTAAGTTAATCTGGCTGTTGTGGTTCACCGGCAGCCGGTGCAGACGGCAATGGAGTCGGACAGTGAGGATGAAAAGGGACCAGGCAGAGAGTCTGGAGAGGTCTTGGACGAGGGTCCTGTATCCGATGCATGGGTGGGACTATGACCCTCTGGGAGTGGGGTGCTGCCTTTGGAGCCTTTGGAGCCTGGCAGCAGCGAGGCAAAGGACCCAGGGGAGCCTGTTCCCAGTGTGTGTGTGCGTAGAGCTGCTAGAAGGCAAGAGCAGCTGAAGCAGAAGGGGAGACTCAGGAGTAAGGCTGGGAGGTGATTGCTTCTCCCATAAGGGATAAAAGTCAGACCTCAATGACGAACGCTTTGCAGCAAGCAAAGCAGTTCAATTAAATTCTGAGTCCTTCTTGAAGCTCTTTGTACTCTGGTCAGTTTTTTCTGATACTTTGTATAGGTATAATTACTTTGGAGACTTCTGTTTTTGGCAGCATTCCACAGCACTGACAGGCGTGTGCTTATCTGTTTAAGTTAGTTTTGGCTGTGAATGAAAATAATTCCCAGTGTTGCATTAAAATAGGTTTTGCTTTTAAAACAAGTTTGTGTTTAATTACATTTGACGAAGCCTGAGTCAGAATACTGGCTTCCCCATTGATTTGGCTGGTCAGAAGGCCACAAAGGGAGACCCCCATAACCCTGGGATGCTGCGACCATCATAAATATGAGTCCGTTGCCAAGCATCTGTACTTTGTTTACATGGCTCCCAGAACAACAAAAAGTGGACAAATACCATCCAATCTCTAACTTTGGGGAGAAGGTTGTTGAATAAGTGATGTTGATGTTGAATAAGCCTCAACTGACAACTTTCATTTAGTGACTGTTCCAAGTGACAATGTCATAGAAAAAAAAAACTTACCACCACTGTTTCAGCATCTCCATGGTCACGGGATCAAAATTTGGACACTTGGCAACTGGCTCATACTTAGGGCTGTTACAATGTCCTAAGGTCACAAAAATCCCCTTTTGCAACCTTCTGACACACAAAGTCAATCAAGAAGCTTCACAATCACACCACTAAGTTAACAACTTCAGCGATTCACTTAACAACAGTGGCAAGAATAGTCGTAAAAGGGAGCAGACTGTTACTAACTGTCTCGCTTAGAGAGACAAATTTTGGGCTCAATTGTGGTTATACTATATTTATGGAGGGATTCTGGATCTGGACCCTTGCAGGGCAGGTTCAGGCCTGGGCATGAGATGGAAACTATTGATTACAATCATGTAGCAAAAGGCAAGCAGTTGGAAAAAGTAGGAAAAAAGGAGAGAAAAATTAAAGGAGATAATTTTTTAAAAATAACAACAATCTCTTCTTGCAATATAAATTGTCATTCTGCAAATAAATTAAAAAAGGGGGAATGTTTCACTTAGCAATATAAATTTTGGGCTCAGTTGTGGTTGTAACTTGAGGATGATCTGTACTCTGTTCATGCTGTGTTAAATAAAGTTGTGATTGTTCAGCATACAATAAACTTCCTGTGTCCTGTTACACTATAAGGAAAATGCCATTAATGGGCTTGTGGTATCATTTGTTCTAGTTAAGAGAAGGTGATAAGTTATTAAAACTGTTTATACTTGTGGTGAATTATTTCTTTCGTGTCTATGGAGATTCTCAGCCATCCAGGTTATGATTGTCCCAAAGGTGCTTTTTTTTCAAGAGGCAACTGGACTTTTCTTTGAAGACATTTTGCTTCTCATCCAAGAAGCTTTTTCAGCTCTGTCTCATTCCCCACCATCCAGTCAGAGCTGAAGAAGCTTCTTGGATGAGAAGCAAAATGTCTTCAAAGAAAAACCAGAAAATCCCGTTGCCTCTTGGGAAAAAAAAGTACCTTTGGATATATTTTTTCTATATTTCTTTTCCTTTGCAGTATTTTTTCCCTGTTCTTCTTTCTAGTATTTTCTTCTTTGCACCTATTTTTTTCTTTAGTTTGTATTCATTTTTATCTTTGCTATTATAATTCTTAATAAAATCACTATTTAAAAAAGAGCAACATTGATGTAGAGATTGTTTGTCTCCTTCTAACTCACTCTCCTACCCTGGAACCCTATAAATCTAGACCTGGGAAACGCTGATTTGTGAGCTCTGTTTTAGCATCACCATCTAAAATGAAAATGAAAGCAGCGTTTCTATTTTCTGCAAAGGATAACACAATGCACTTAATGGTTTCCCTCTCTCTCTCTCTGTCTCTGCCTGAAGCTCTTAACATTAGTTAAAAAAAAGACACTGAAAAGAACAACTCGTTTTTCCCTTGGAAACAGTGTCTGGCTTTGGCTAACACAGACTGAAGCATTGAATTAATGCATTTCCTGGGTTCTTACCCTCCTGCTACTCTAAAACACAAACCAATCAATTGGGCAGATTTTTTTTTTTTTTACAACTAAGGTTATATATAACCAGGCAAGTTTGGTGAAGTGGCAGAACCAAGCAAGGGGTTTCAAGCAAGGAGGATAAACAAGAATATTCAGCCCATGGGAAATGAAGCAGTAGGGAAAAGGGGAGAACTGAGCAGTTTTTTAAAATAAAACAACAACAACACATTCACAGATAATTATTTTATGGCAGGGTGCAGGGTGGTGAAAATTACCACAGGGAGAATTTTTATAGACCCCAGAGGTTGGAGGCTGCTTTTCAGCCTTGGGAATGAAAAAGGAGCCCTCAGCTCCATTTTGTGACCAACCAAGGGCAAAAAGATGTTTAATCTCTACAGGACCAAATAAAGAAACAAGGCAGAGAACAGGAAAGGCACAAAGCTGGAAGAAAAGGATGTTTTGAGAAGAGATGTTTGTGCTTGTCTCATCATTAGGCTACCAGGCTCTGCTTGCAGACTGGGAGATGAAGAGAAGTGTGTGTGTGTGGGGGGTTGTAATAGGGGAAAAAAAAACCTTTATATTACATTTCCCAGGGCCCTGTTTTCCTTCTGCACTACTGCATGGCTAAAGAAATTGCTGATGGAGATGTGGGGCAGAGAGGGGAGAGTGTCCTTAGACTTTCCCCTCTTCCTCTCCCCCCATCCTGTTTGAGGCCATGGGGAGGGGTTCAAATCCTGCCTTCTCTGGCCTTCCCACACAAAGGCATTTTCAAGATCCCCCCCATTAGGATCCCTATATATTCATCCCTGCAAGGAGTGTTTGTGTGTGTATGTGGAGTGGGGGGGATTGCATTTACCCGCTGAGAAACCCTCCCTGTTGGGAAGGAGCTATAGTCCAACACATCTGGAAGGTTTGGGTTTGGGAGGGGTTGGGGGTTATGGATTTGGGGGGGGGAGACTGCATAATCACCCACAATGCACTGCAGCAACATCTCACCTCCCCACCTCCATCCCCTCCTGAACCTGAAAACATCCTGTTCTTCGTTTTGCATGGAGGGAGGGGGCTTGGCAAGACACCTCCTCTTTTTCAAAAATCTAGTAGTGCCCCCCAAACCAAGCAACCTCCCAATTCTAGCATCCAACCAGCCTCTCTTCAACATCATCTTTTGGGGACCATTTGATATGAAGCGTTTTCCAACCCCCCCCCATCCCCCAATTCTCTCATCTATGATAAACTGCACCCACAACGACAACCTCTCTCCTCCACTCAGCTTTTCCGGAAGTCCATTCAAGGAAACTTCTGCCTCATCTTAATCCCGAACCCACCCACCCACCCCAAAAAAGGAAATTAGGGTTTGAAAGAAACCCTTGATAGAACCCCGTTAATTCTGGGGTTCTGTGTGGAATAATAAAGATCGTTTCTATCTGTCCCTTTCTCCGAGTAGGGGGATCATCGCCCGCCACCCCGTCCACCGCTTCCCCCTGCCTTAAAGGGTTATCGGGTCATCCCCGCTGGCATACCGGGAGATCTCCATCTCCGAAGGTGACCCGCTGGCTGGGATCCCCCCCAACCCGCCCCGAGCCCTTCTCCTCGCACTGGATCGCAAGGGAACTCGCTCGTCTGCTGCGCAAGGCGAGATCCCCAAAGGGCCGAGCGATGGAACCAGAAGCTGCAAGGAAAAACGCCCCGAGATCTGCGGCCAGGCCAAACCCCGGTGCGCCCTTCCCTTCTCTCCGGGGCTCCAGCCGGTTCTGCTCCGTGCTGTCGATCCCAAGCCCAGCCCCGATAAAAGAGCCCAGCCCGCGGCTTCTCTTACCGGCCCGACGCCCAAAGCGGGCGCGGAGCTTACCTGGACTTGCTGGCGGCGGCTGAGCCGCGGCTCGTGGACGAAGGGATTGGGGGCGGCCGCGGCCGGCTCGTCTTCCTCCGGGGCCCCCCGGTTCGAGCCGCCCTCCATGGCCGGATCCCCCCCCTTCCAGCCTGGGATGAGACCCCAAGGCCCGGAGCCCGGGGCCTGGTCGGGGAAGGGGACGAAGGATGGCGAGACGGAGGAGGGAGCGGACGGCGGGCGAGCCGGAGAGCGAGCGATCGCGCGGTTGGAGGAACTCCCTGGCACCGGAGCGGGTCGGCAGGAGGGAGCCAGGATGCTAAGGAGGGGGCGGTGCTCGGCGCGGTTGTCTCGGCGACGGCATGGCTGGGGGACGGACTTTCGTTTTGAAGGGACCGGATGGTGGAGGAGGAGGAGGAGGAGAAGTGGATTCAGCATCTCTGCGCAGCGCTCTATTCATCCCTCGTTTCCTCCACCATCCAGCTCTCTATGAGCCTCCCTTTCCCCGTAGGCAAAAAGTCGGTATCAGCGGGGAAGCCAGGAGGAACCATGGAAAGCACTGCCCAAACTATCTGGAAGGCACCAAGTCGAGAGCCATCTTTCCTTCCTTCCCTTCCTTCCCCTTTTCTCCCCCTTTCTCTCTCTCCCTCCTTCTCCTACTTTCCTTCTTTCCCTCCATCTCCTTCCTTCCTTCTCTTCCCTCTCTTTCCCTTCCTTCCCTCTTTTTCTCTCTCCCTTCTTCCCTCCTTTGCCTTCCTTCTTTCCTCCCTCCCTCCCCCATCCCTTTTCTCTCTCACCTTCTCTACTGGCCTACAACCCTTCCCCTTCAGTCCCTTTGTGTTATATGAAGGGCCAGTTGTCTCAGAAATGGCCCATCTTGTCTGGGTTTGGCACTGCTTAAGATGGATAGGGCACCACTAGGAGATGCCACTAGGAGGGCAAATGTGTTAGCCTTGACAGGGAGCTAAAGAAATGCCCAAAGGCAGCAATAGCACATCACATTGCATTGTTGTCAAAACATCTTCACGGAGTCACATTCAGCTCAAGGACATCTGTACTCTTGCAGGATGAAGACGAATGAACAAAACCTAAACCACATGTCAATGTACAGTAATTAAAATTAAATGAGCTTCCTTCTGACAACCAATAGAGTATAGTCTCTAGATGCTAAGTATAACAGCAATTTGAAGCATCAAACTTGAAGCTTCCATCTTCCAGGTTTTTTTTGGCTGTCAGCGTTTCTCAACCTTGGCAACTTTAAGATGGATGGACTTCAACTCCCAGAATTCCCCAGCCAGCTGGGGAAATCTGGGAGTTAAAAGTCCATCCATCTTAAAGTTGCCAAAGTTGAGAAACACTGGGCTAAGTCATCCTCAGCTCAATCCACCTCATAGGCTTGTAGTTGTGGAATAAAAATAGAGAAAGCCCCTCTATGAGCATTGAGATACAAGTTAGGTTGGAACTGCAGCAGTGGTGGGATTCATTTTTTTTTACTACCAGTTCTGTGGGCATGGCTTGGTGGGCATGGTGTGGCTTGGTGGGCGTGGCTTGGTGGGCGTGGCAGGGAAAGGATACTGCAAAAACTGCATTCCCTCCCCACCCCACTAACCTGATTTCCAGCTCCGTTCTCCTGTGCAGGGCAACCAAAGAAGACCCAGCCAATCAGCTGGGACTCGGGAGGCAGAGAATAGATGGGGGTGGAGCCAGTCAAAGGTGGTATTTGCCGGTTCTCCAAACTACTCAAAATTTCCATGACCGGTTCTCCAGAACTGGTCAGAACCTGCTGAATACCACCTCTGAACTGCAGTGATTCATGTGATAGTTCCCCTTTTTGGGCCACTTTTAAAAATTGTCTGTCCCTGTTTGGTGCAAGGAAGCCCAGAGACCCAGTTCTCCATCTCACTTGTCCTATTTAGAAAAAGGGGGATTAACCAGATGGCCTTGGTGAGTCAGGAAATTCCTGTATCTCAAATTTCAGCCTTCTAATGCCACAAATATTTCCTGTAGCAATTTCCACATTGCTGTGAAAACCTAGAGTTATAATACACCTACTACATGGGAGAGGCAGGAAGGACATTGGCTCAATTGAGTTCATGACTCTCACCTGGTAGCCGTGATGAAAAGTCCCTAATTTCAATCTGCAGGCAAATCCAGTTCCATTTTAGAAGGGGATCTGTCAACATGTTAAATCCAGCCTCCTTGTAAAATGCTAAGGGATGGACAGATAGAGTGGACAGATAGAGATAAACTCAATTTCTATAAGTTTATAAGATGTAATCCAGGGGTGTCAAACTCCTGTCTTCACAGCAGCATCACGTGACATATCGGGACTTTCCCCCCCTTCTCTAATGTGGGTATGGGCATGGCCAATGCCTGACGCATTGACCCCACGGGCTGGGAGTTTGGCAGCCCTGATGTGATCCAATGTTTCTCAGTCTCATCAACCTGAGAATTCAACACACAGAATTCCATGCAGGTGGAGGGGGGAATTCTGGTAGTCGAAGTCCCTATATCTTCAAGTTCCTGAGATTGAAAAATCTAGATATAAAAGCGAAATACCACTCATGTATCATCACAAAATCTCCAGAACTGTAAAGCCTATAAGCTTGAAATTTGGCATGTATGCTCCTCTTGGCTTCTAGGTGCTCACTAAGAAGGGATTTTTTGAAATGACCACCAGAGCATTAGTATTTCCTATATTATTATTATTATTAACACGCTCTGATGCTAAGGAGTTCTACTCCCCCTCCCCACCTGAAAAGAAATCTGTTCCAAATGCAAAACACAAGCAGAGGAGTTTCAGTTTTATTTTCACTGCAGCAACCAGCTTTAGTACAGAACAGTTGAACTAAGCCACGCCCAGGCTCCTTGCTGTCTCCTTCTTGCTCACACAGCAAATACTGTTTCAGTTTCCAAACAGCCCTCAACTCTCTCACACACTGACAGGATGCTAGCCAGATGAATACCGATGGATGCTGGTAGGCAGAGGCAGCATTCCCCCCCCCCACTTATTTTCCTCCTCAAAAATTAAGCCCGACCACATAGTTTCGTAGTGAAGCATGGGTGTAGAGCTAGTACTGATATAACCACATGTGAAGGAAGAAAAACATCAAAGAACCTAGCCAGCAAGAGTTAAGGTGGAAACAATATCAAATAAACAAGCAGGGAAGAAACAGTAGCCTAATCAAAGGATTCTCAACGAAGGTAAAAAATATTTTATTATTAGCCCTTTCTAACTGGAACTTAGGATCAATTGCACCAGCAAAAAAAAAAAGCAATAATAAATAGACTTATGATAACAGTTAATCTTTGACTTACAACCATTCATTTAGTGACTGTTTGAAGTTACAAGGGCACTGAAAAAAACTGACTTAAGGCCATTTTTTACACTTACGACCATTGTAGCATCCCCATGATCAAAATTCAGATGATTGACCACTGGTTCATATTTATGACAGTTGCAGAGTCCTGGGGTCATGTGATTCCCTTTTATGACCTTCTGACCTGCAAAGTCAATGGGGATACCAGGTTCACTTAATGACCACGTTACTAGCTTAAGAACTGCAGTGGTTCACTTAACAATTGTGGCAAGAAAAAACTGTAAAATGGGGACAACGCTCGCTTAATAAATGTCTCACTTAAGCAACAGAAACAAACATTTGGCTCAATTCGAGGACTACCAATATGTATTTAGCAATAAAGGACCTGACCCTGCTGATTTAAAGTCTTGCCTTAAATGTTCTACCCAAGAAAAGAAATGTGGGGGCTTACATATTATAAATTGTGCAGCTTAAAGGAATGGATGAAAAGCTAAGAAGGACAGAAACAGTGTTAGAAGGACACAGGTGACATTCCATCCATACTTCCTTCAGCCTGTGAGTTTACATCAGCAAGAAAATAATTTTGTAATGTGGAAGAGTGTACTCTATGAAACTTTCACATTGCTAGCCTTAATCTCTGCCCCCAGGGATTTAGCAGTTTCCAGAAAAGTCTTTGAAATGGTAGAAGGAGATGGGAGGATGTTTAAAAAAAAGGAAGAACATTCACTTGACTTAAAAAAACATATTACAGATGCTTAATCCTCCTCTCGTATTATGGTCTCTACTATAGTCAGCCAGATGTTCAGACTGGATCTGGCATTTTTGTTCAGTTGAGTCCTTCCCAAGACCCTGGGTTATTATTATTATTTTAAAAAGCAACAACAACCCAATCCCAGCTCTGTTAATAAATTATTTTAAAGATGGAATGTTTACATTTTCAAGCCACATTTAAATCCCCACAGTCTGAATTTTTCAAAGATAAAACATTGTTGGAAGAAATATCCTTCTGGCTTTCGTTCCAAGTGGGGGGAAAAGACTCTGGATTCATGGAAGTTGCTTGGAAAGAAGGTTTAATGGTGGACAGGATCACATGCTATGGAGCTCCTGGGTGAAGAAAAAGGGAAGAGATGCTGAAAGTGCCTGGGTTTTATGCCCTCTGTGGGGATTGGTTTGGTTGTCAGACTCCCATGGGGCCATGCAGGGGCAACTCTGTAGGCTGTCCTGAGTCCCAGGCTTGGTTGAACCTTGCTGGATGATGATGTAATGAAAGGGCTTTGAGCAATTCCTATTATGGCTCTACCTGGAGGAGGTAGATCTTTGTTATGTAGAATAGACAGCCCATGCCTTAATAGCCCATTAACAAAGGCGGGGGGAGGGGCTAACTTTCTGCCTCTCTGAGTTTCTACTTCTCTTTTAGGGACATATTCTGCCTTTTTTTTTTTTTTAGTATATCTTAAAATATTTCATTTCTCTAGGAGAGGGGTGGGTATTAACTTCCAACAACATATTCTAGACTTTAATTCCACAGAGATGAATGAAAGAGATTTTTTTATCCCATTGGTCTGCAGGTTTTAGCTTGGAACTGACAAATGCATAGTCATTTATAACATTGACCAATATGGGAGTCTTTTAGAATTGCTTCTTGTCAATCTTTCTTTTACCAGCTGGGTGCTTTCTGAAAGAAGTAAATTCAGGCTTACTCCCCAAGTTTTTTAACACTGGAAATTTGAATTGGCATTTTTGTGACAAACAGGGTGACCTTGTGATTGCTTGATTATTTAATGGAACATAATTGGCATGTGGTCAAAGGCAGCATCACACAAAGAGTCATAAATGTTGCCAAATCATATCCTGTCCATTTGGGAACACCCAATTGTTAGGCACAAAGAATGGTTCCATGTGATTCAGTTTTCCTGAGTTAGACAGAGCTTCCCTTGAAGTCCCATAAAGGATCTGGACTGAGAAGAAATATTTGCAACAATGGATTTTTAAAGTCTAAAGTGCACAGTTCAATAATAATAATAACAACATCTGGCTGACTATGCAACCAACCATAATAATAGTAACAATAATAGCTGCAAGACATACCACTTGCTTGCAAACAAAAACCAGTGGGACCTCAAAATAGACACAATACTAGAAAACAAAGAAGCCAGAGCACTCTAGGACTTTAGAGAATCAGTAGTAACTGCTCAGGACAGAACACTCCAGACTCAACAGTAGTTGATAAGTAAAAGACAAAAAGTCTGGATAGTGGATGTGGCAGTACCTAGAGATGGCAGAAGAGAAGATAAAGAACTGGGGGGTGCATAACAAAATACAAAGACCTGCAAATAAAAATAGAATGACTGTGGCAAAAGAAACAAAGATTATACCAATAGTGCTACAGTCTCGGGTGCAATCCCAAAATATCTAAAGCAGCCCTTGAATACTTATGTACTTACGTTTGAATTTTATTCTGACTTTATAGTAACTCAAGGTGGCAAACGTACCATATATAATAATCCTTCCTCCTTCTATTTTTCCCAACAAAATTGGGAAGTTGGATTGGGCTGAGAAAGAGAGCAAGTAGACCAAAGTCACCCAGCCAGTTTTGATGCATAAACTGGGACTAGAACTCACAGCCCCCTGGTTTCTAACCCAGGACCTTAACCAACTATACCAAACTGATGTAGCAAATTATTTCTATTTCTTTTTATCCTTTCTTTCTGCCCTTTTGTTTTCCCTTCTCTCTCTCTTTCCTTCTCCCTCTCTCTCTTTGCTCTTTATTCTGCATGTTTTGTAACAGATAGATAGATGATTGATAAATTATAGATGATTGTTAGATGCTAAATGATAGATGACTGATAGAATATTGATAGATAATAAATTTATTTATTTTATTTATTTTATTTTGTCAAGCATGTATGAGAAAACAAGTATAAGTATGAACATAACATATAAACATATAAGTATAAACGGGTATAAGTATATACATATTAAATGAGTATGAAAAAATGGGAACAGTAGGACAGGGGCGGTAGGCAAGCTGGTGGGCTTATG